TGTGGTTGGAGTGTCTGCCTGTCTGTTCTGTGCCGAGTGCCCTCGTCACTCTGCGCCTCACAAACACGCTGTCCTCGCCCCCAGGGCAGTAAAACAGTAACGTTATTGTTAATGATCATGATAATAAATTTATAAATAATTGAATGTCTGCTTTCTGGCCCTGCCCTGGGCACCTCCAGCCGCTACAGTATCTTGGGCCTAGTCATGGACCAAAAAAGCGCTGCTTTCCGCTCTCCGTGAGCTGCAGGGCATCAGCTCTGGCTCTCCACTTGCTAAACACTTGTGTGCAGATAAGCCCAGTGTTGTGGTCCTTGCAGCGGCTGCAGATGCTGCTGCTGTCTCTGGGGCAGGTGTGCGAAAGCTTGAAGGCTTATTTTTTTATCATTTAACTAGCATTTCTCTTTCCAAATACAATGCTCCTGAAGTTGTCTTCATGTGAAAATCTTTTATTCTTAGAAGAAAACGCTAGCTAAGCATGTTTTAGTATCTGTTTTGTCTGTTGTCATCTTGGGACCCACTTATTTAGATAGAAAATATATGCGTGCATCATATGGTAAATGAATAGAAGAAATTATTTGCTGGGAGGCTGCTTGAACATTGGCGCATGTTGCCAGGAAAGACTGTGCTGGGGTCTCAGTCCCTGGATATGTAAGATTGCTGAGGTTGGAAGGGTCCCCTAGGGATCGTCTAGTCCAACCCCACTGCTCAAGCAGGGTCAAAGCTGACAGGACCCAGCCTCGGTGACCCGGGCAGGAGCCTCCGGCCCTGACTGTAGCGTAATACCTGTTTTGGTGTTGAATAGTAGCCTTTAAGGGGCGGTGCTGGGAGAGCCCCGCCTTCCACCAAAAAAGGGTGAGGGCCGGGGCCAGCGCGCCACCTCAGCCAATCAGACACCGGCAAAACAGGCGGCTCCAACTTAGAGGCGTGCAAAGCTGCCTCGGTGACCCGGGCAGGAGCCTCCGGCCCTGACTGTAGCGTAATACCTGTTTTGGTGTTGAATAGTAGCCTTTAAGGGGCGGTGCTGGGAGAGCCCCGCCTTCCACCAAAAAAGGGTGAGGGCCGGGGCCAGCGCGCCACCTCAGCCAATCAGACACCGGCAAAACAGGCGGCTCCAACTTAGAGGCGTGCAAAGCTGTGAGTGTGGCATTGCGCTGTCTCTCCGCCCGCGGGCCGGGACTAGCGGCCGCAGAGAAAAGAGTCCGCGAGGGGAGGCGGCCGGCCTCGCTTGGCGGAGGCAGGCGGGAGCCGCGCGGGCTGGCGGC